ACCCATTTCGGCACACCCCTCACACGTTTCGTGGCCCCATAGGGAGCTCCACCGAAGGCCCCATGGCTGCCGTCCGCATGCGTCCCGCACACCCATTTCGGCACACCCCTCACACGTTTCGTGGCCCCATAGGGAGCTCCACCGAAGGCCCCATGGCTGCCGTCCGCATGCGTCCCGCACACCCATTTCGGCACACCCCTCACACGTTTCGTGGCCCCACAGGGAGCTCCACCGAAGGCCCCAGTGCTGCCGTCCGCATGCGTCCCGCACACCCATTTCGGCACACCCCTCACACGTTTCGTGGCCCCATAGGGAGCTCCACCGAAGGCCCCATGGCTGCCGTCCGCATGCGTCCCGCACACCCATTTCGGCACACCCCTCACACGTTTCGTGGCCCCACAGGGAGCTCCACCGAAGGCCCCAGTGCTGCCGTCCGCATGCGTCCCGCACACCAGGTGTGTGGCGTGCCGACATGGGCGTCGCGGCGCGCGGGCGCTGCCGTCGGGGTTCCCAGGGAAGCCCCCTGCAGAGGCGACGCTCAGAGTCACGAGTACCGAGAGTCACGCAGACCCAAACTGTTCACAGTCGTATACATACATTTACACTGGGCGTATCCATGCACGCATTCATGCGAATAGAATCAATCGCGCGCAGATTCATTCATAATCAGACTCGCTCGCGATCCGACTCGCACGCGCTCAAGCTTTCATATTCGGACCTATCGTCTTCGTTCGTGTTGTGTACACTGCCACGCATTTCGGCACACCCCTCATACGGCTCGTGGCCCCATAGGGAGCGCCACCGAAGAAGATATTCACAATTGCGGTACTCTCAACTGCATATGGTTGGGTCCTTCGCCAGGCTAATGTCTGGCTCCACGGGACCACTGGTGCACCGAGGCAAGCGGCCTATGAAGCGCAGGTGGAATCTTGGGCTTTGAGGCGCGGCAGTTGCGTTGCCGCTCGACGTTGTCTAGAGCCCAGATCCAGATCTTTAAGGCACCAGAGTCCCGTAGCCCCCTCTCAGCCTACGCCGTGCGCGTTTTGTAGTTTGAAACTTTGTTCTTATTGATCGGGCTCGTCTCTGCACGATGGCACGTGCTACGACCTCTCCCTCGCCTGCGACTTCCTTTAGGCTTCGCCTCTGCCCCTCGTCTGAAATGATCGTCAATATTTGTCGGTTGAATCTGAGAGGTATGAGATAAGCGACAGGCTTAAATCCCTCCCCCGATTTTGTGCCCTGCCCGTTGAGTTCAACGGCCAGGCCCCCGCGCAGGCAACGCAGTGTTGCATCTGCCAGCGCGCGTGGCTCTTCGAGCTAGCAAAATGAATTGGGTACAGATAAGGCCTATCCCCCCCCAGATTCTGCGATAACTAGATTGATAAGACATTGAACCGGATGGGAGAGAGCGAGCGAGCTCCCCCTCCTCCACGCGCGAAACGATTGGCGGTACAACGCGCGTTGCTGGAATGAGACGCGGCGCGCTTCGACGATGCAACATGAAAGGCCGGAGCGCGGCGCGGCGTACATCGCGCGCGGTCTTGTTTTCTCGTCGACGTTGCTCAACACGCGGCAGGAATAGGACGCAGCTCGTGTCGCGCGCTGAACGTCTAGCCGCCCGCGAGATAAGATGAGCGACAGGCGTCGGACGCGACGCACTTGCTTCTTATCTTGTGGGAGGGCGGGTGGGAGTGGACGGAGCCCTCTGGCTCGTTCGAGCTGGCTAACTTGACCCGAACCCCCGCCCCCCCCCTCCCAAGGGGGGGGTGGTCCAACCCCCTCCCCCCCGGGCGCCAGCGCCGGCGCCGGCGCTGGCGACCGCCAGCAGCGCCGACGGCGAAAACGCAGCGACGATGACCAGAGGCAGCCAGGGGGGAGGGGGTCCAACTCTCCCCCCCCGCGCCGGCGCCAGCGCCGGCGAGGGCGGCGGCCAGCAGCGCCGACGGCGGGGACGCAGCGACGATTACCAGAGAGGGCCCAGAGGCCGCAGAGGGAACACGCAAATCGCCATATCGAGCCCTCGCCCCCAAGAAGCCACCGAGAGGCCCTTAGGAAGGTCCACGAGTCGACGAGGCTTCACACATGCTTCTCAGACGCCCCCGAGACCCTTCTGACGAGACCTCAAAAGGCATCCATGAGAACACTGACCAAACGCCAAAACACGGTGGCGGGAAGAGTGGAAGGCCACACCACCACCACCACAAACCACAACCACCACCACAACCACAACCACAACCACCCACCACCACAACCCACCACAACCCACCACAACCACCACCCCCACCAAAAAACACCACACCATTACCAGCACCATCAACACCATCGTCACCACCACAACCATCACCATAACCCACTACCAACACCACTACAAACCACCACACCACCACCACAACCACCACCACTACCACCACCACCACCCACCACCCAGCACCCACCACCACCACCAGCACCGCTACCAGCAGCACCACCACCACCACAAACCAACACGCCACCACCACAACCACCGCCACCACCAATACCACCACCACCACCTACCTCAACCCACCACCACCACCACCACCAAACCACCACACAACCACCACCACCACAGCCACCACCGCCACAACAACAACTCACCACCACCACCACAACAACCACCCACCACCACCACAATCTACCACAGAACCACGCCACCACCGCCACAACCACGACCACCACAACCCACACCACCACCACCGCAAACCACCACACCACCTTCACCAACGCCACCACCACCACCACCACCACCCACCACCACCACCTCCACAAACCACCGCCACCACCACAGACCACCACACCACAACTACCACCATCACCGCCACCACCACCACCACCACAACAACCCACCACCACAAACCACCACCACACCACCACACCACCACAAAACCACCACCAACATCACAACCCACCACTACCACCACAACCACAACCATCGCCACCACTACAACCCTCCACAACCACCACCACAAACCACCTAACCATCACCACCACGACCACCACCACCACCACCACCCATCACAACCACCACCACCACAACAAACCACCACCACAACCACCACAACCACCTCCACCACCGCCACCACAACCAACACAACCCACCACCACCACAACCACTACCACCACCACATCCACCTCGACAAGCCACCACACCACCACGACCGCATCCGACCGCATCCGAGTAACACATGTGTGTATGTTGATATATCACTATTTCTCCCCTACTCGGGCTCTCAGGAATCCTGCTGCACGCCGCCGGCTGGCGGTTTTCGCGCGTCCTTCATCCACGATCTTGGGTGCAATTCGTCACCTTTCGTCGTTTCCTGTTCAAGCACTCGCGACAGTACCGTCACCTCGCTGGAGTGTGTGTGTGTGTGTGTGTGTGAATGTGTGTGTGTGTGTCTGTGTGTGTGTCTGCGTGTGTGTGTGTGTGTGTGTCGCCCGTCTTTTCACCTGACTTTGTACGCCGCGCCGCCACGCGCGAGACCACGACGCCAAAAGTGTGTGTGTGTGTGTGTGTGTGTGTGCGTGTGCGTGGGTGTGTGTCTCTGAGTGTGTGTGTGTGTGTGTGTGTGTGTGTGCGTGTGCGTGTGCGTGTGTGTAGGTGTGCGTGTGTGTGTGTGCGCGTGTGTGTCCGTGTGTGTGTATGTGTGTGCGTGCGCGCGTGCGTGCGTGTGTGTGTTGCGTGTGCGCGCGCGCGTGCGTGCGTGCGTGCGTGCGTGCGTGCGTGTGTGTGTGTGTGCGTGTGTGCGTGTGTGTGTGTGTGTGTGTGTGCGTGTGTTGTGTGTGTGTGTGTGCGTATTTGTGCGTGTGCGTGCGTGCGTGCGTGTGTGTTTGTGTGTGTGCGTGTGTGTGTGTGTGTGTGTGTGTGTGTCTGTGTCTGAGTGTGTGTGTAGGTGATTGAATGTGCGCGTGCGTACGTGTGCGGGCGCGTGTGCCTGTGTTTGGCTGCTGCTGGCGAAGATGCGCACGTTTCGCCGCTTAGACTCGACTTTCCACGCCCGGTCGCCGCGCGCGGGGCCGCGTCGACCAAAAGTGTGCGCGTGTGTGCGTGTGTGTGTGTGTGTGCGTGTGTGTGTGTGTGTGTGTGTGTGTGTGTGTGTGTGTGTGTGTGCGTGTGTGCGTGTGTGCGTGTATGTGTATGTGTGTGTGTGCGCGTGTGTGTGTGCTTGTGTTAGTGCGTGTGTGTGTGAGTGTGTGTATGCGCGCGTGAGTGCGTGTGTGTGTGTGTGTGTGTTTGTAGCTGCTGCCCGGCGCTGCGGCACCAGAAGGGTCTTTGAGAGCTCGTCTTGGCGTAGGCGCGCGCGCTTCGCCGCTTGGACTCGACTTTCTACGCTCCGTCGCCGCGCGCGGGGCCGCGTCGCCAAAAAGCGTGTGAGCGTGTGTGTGGGTGTGCGTGTGTCTCACGTGTCCCTCGAGACGCGCCTCTGCTGGGCTGGTCGCTGGCACTACTGGCCTCGACGCTGCTGCCTGCCCCAGCCGCAGCCCCGCACAAGCTTGGCCCGCTGGCGCCCGTTTAGCGCCGACGCCTGCTGCTCCTAGCCAGTGCCTGGCCGCCTGGCACTCCCAGCCACCCGCCATTGCTCGGTCGTCCATTCCCCGTTCATGTTTCGCAAGATGATCCAAGATGCTCCTCGATGGTCCTCGCCGAGGATTAATGCACACGTTGGAGAGATGCCAAGGCCACTGCCCCGTGAGAGCCCGGCGCTTCCCCCTTGCACTCGCCGGCTTTCCAATGCCGACCCTTGGTAGCCACGCTCAGCCCAGGCTTTGACTCTTTGAGCGCTCGAGCGGCTTTCGCGAGTGCGCGCGCGTGTGTGTGTATGTGAGAGAGAGAAAGATAAAGAGAGAGTGTGTGTGTGTGCGTGTGTGTGTGTGTGTGTCTGTGTGTGTGCCAACGCCATGTGGAATTGCTGCTAAACGCTCCCTGGTTTCGCCCCCGCGTGTGTGCGTGTGTATGTTTGCGCGCGCAATGGCGCCGTCACCTTGCTGGAGGAGGGAAAAGTGTGTGTGTGTGTGCACGTGTTCGCAGAACAAGGGGCATTGCGAGATCTGCGCATGGCTACAACCAACAAGAGCAAACACTTGCAATCCCGTGTGCGCACAACCACGCGCAAACATGCACGTTGCTAAAACGGCGTGACACGGCATTCCATCCTCATTCGCGGCACGTTGCCAGGGCCTTGCGTCGACTCATGTGGCAAGGCATGGCAACAGTTGGCGTGACGTACGCTACCTTTGTACATACGTTCCACTTTCCTCGTGGAGAAGTGCTGAGCCTGTCACTCTTTGAAGCGCAGGCGTACCCACTCAGTGATCTCCTGACCTCGCGAGGACGCTTTTGCACAAACCAGGTGCACACAATAGTGAATGCTTGTCTTGTAGCTCTCGTGCTCAGTCTTCCCCTCCTAGCACGTACATAGCGTACGGCACTGGCTTGCCCATCAAGTCCTTTGCCGCAAGCAGGGAGGCGACGTGGACAAGGCGAGGAGCGAACTGCACGACGAGAGGCGAGGACATCAGACGCGGAACTGTGCCAATACAGGACAAGCAATCGACGCCCAATGACCACGTGAAACAAGACAGCACCTCGGGTGGCGCGAATAGTGCGTATGACAGTAACGCTGGGGAGTGCAAGCGCTCTGGTGCGCCAACAACTCAGACATGATGAGTCATAACGGACGCAAGCGTGCAACTTACAGATGTCATGCCGCCGCTATGTCGGCGCAACCATTCCGATAAAATCATTCGGCAACGAGCTGAATATTGAATCTGAGTCAGGACAGAGCTGAGATCACAGAAATGCACAGAGCGCGAAAGAGTGTGCCACCTTGGGCACAGCCTCACCGTTGTGGCCTGTGTATATGCATGTTGGTTCCTCCCCTTGTCCCACTGACTTAACATCAATACTGCTGTTTTAACTACCGTCCCTCACTTAGTCCCTCATTGCTTCCCTATCAGCATGGCCCTCTACATCTCTCTTGGCTCTTCGCCCTAACTTTCTCCTCCTCCTTCTCATCTTCTGCATGCTCGGCCATTCCGACATCCAAGCGTACTACTACTACCACTACTACTACTACGACGACGACTACTACTACTACTACTACTGC